TCTATCTATCTATCTATCTATCTATCTATCTATCTATCTATCTATCTATCTATTTACTGATTGATTGATGCATAGTCATCCCATTTGGGGAAGACTGTCTGGGAGAACTATTCACAATTAATCTTCACTGACATGGTAGCATCCTTCCTCAGAGGGCCCGGGCTTCTCCCTTACGCAAGCAATTCTGGGTCTGTAAAGTGGCACCAGCCTGGAACTTGACTGAGGAGCCATGATCTTCAATGATTTGAATGAGAGTTTTGTTCATTCGGTATGGTACTTTTCTGCTTACACAGATCAAGTAAGAATTTGCCAGCTCTCTATTTCACTTCTTGGAACCACATGACTTACAGAGCTATGTCAGGCCACTGTCATCATAGTGTGCTCTACTGTCCTTCACGGTACCCATGGCTATCCTCCTCAGGTAGTTAATATGTTGAGCAGTTGCCTTGTATCTCCAGACTCCTGTACCCTTGGAGTCTGCTCAGTACATACTGACTATATTCTGAAAAATATTGGTTGTAGCTGAACTCATGTATGTAAGAGAAAGATATGCTGGTGTTCCCCTACTTTGGTCCATAAAACCATGCCCTGCTGTGTAGGCTGTGATCAACAGCTGTTGTTGCCTCTCAAATTCATAAACCGCCCCCATCTTTTATTTCATTAAGAAAAAAGGAACTACAGTTCCTATCTACATCTTGAAAAGGGTATCTCTAAATTGTCCATTGGGAGGCAGGAATTTTATATTCTACAAATTTTTCCTTATTAAAGCAGAGTTTCTCATAGTCTCATAAACAGGCCATGAGACTTTTCCACACATACAGACCCAGAGCAGCAGTAAATATTTCGGTCTCTTTCAGGAAATCAGTTACATCACTGACTCTCCTGTGCCCCTGCACATGGCTCTATGTAATGCTGCCCAAATCAGGAACTTTCAGACAGAACTTATGTCTTCCAAAGCAGGCTTACCCCCTAGTTAAACACACGTAGATGACCTAGGCCAATGAAGATACAGTTATTTGAGACAGCCTAACCTGGCTTTAAGAGCAGTCCCTAAATAATGTGAAACATTGTAGTAGCTACAGCTCCACTTAAATCTTCAAAAAAAAAAAAAGTGTGTGTCTGAATGTGTTCTGCTGTGCAAACGAATTCCAACTTAAGCAAAACCATTCCCCTAGAAATCATTCTCAAACCCCCAACCCCTGTGTTTCAGCACCTTCCCAGATTTAAATGTCGATAATTACAGTTTTAAGAACCAACCTTCTGCCTTCCAAGGCTGACACAGATATAGAAGAAATGTGTTAAAAGTTTCTTTCTTGGTGCTGAGATCTTATAGGGTGAAATTGTGCACAATTAGGAGCAAACACATTACTTTAAAATATGAAGGAGAAAACCTTACCCGAATCCAGAAAGTAAACGACAGAAGAGAAAGAAGCCATAACCTTGGACAAATGAAGAAAGGAAGGCAAAGAATCCGTTGACAGACATGCAAATCAGAAGAGACTGCTTCCTTCCCACTTTGTCTGCCAGTCCTCCCCAGAAGAACGCCCCCACCATCATCCCGAGGTACACTATGCTGCCTGCAACACACAGAAAACAAAGGAACAGGTCAGAGGTTGGGAACAAACAGCACATGTAACAGCAAATGAGGCACAAAACACACTCCAGCATTTTGCACAGGGAAAATACCTCTAAAAGCACATCCTTAGGGATGCAGTCCCCGAAGGTCAGACTGGAAGTTGACCACCCTGACCCCTCAGAAGCACTGATCAGAGTCCTTTCCTTTACCATCACACGTGAGGGCAGGCTGGTCACATTCCAAGCCAGCCTTATGTGGGTGAGCGGCTGTGGGAAAGCCTCAAAACACCTCATGGAGCAATCCCGGAGTCTGATTCTAGGTTTCAATTTTTGCTCTAAAAGCTCCATGTGTCACAAGGACAAGATGAGACATCAAGTCAAGCCCCCCCCCCCCCCCCCAGGTCAAAGTGAACCTACAACTGTTTAAAATCTGTGTTTACACCAGATGACCTATGTTAAGGCCAGCCTGAATCCTTTTAGAGGATTCTGTAGTCCCTCTCGAAGGCCCTGGAGTTGAGGAAAGTGGACTTAGCTATTACAAGGCTTAAATAGAAATGGTTTCTAGCTCTTGTCACTAGAGAAGGCTCTTAGAGCCAGGAGTTCAATGAGAAGAGAGCATCTGTGTCTGTCCACAAATGTTAGTGTTGACCTGGATCCCCAAGGAAATCAAATGGAAAACCAGGAATCAGATGTCCCTCTGTTGTCACTGTGAGTGGACACTTGAATTTTCTGATTCACTCTCCTCTAAGAAAATGAAACTTCCCACAAACACCGTGAAAACCTCTGTGAGGATGAACCAATGTGAGATGCGGCAAATGTAAGTTCAGAAGCCTTTCTGAAACTGAATGCTTAAGAGACACGAGTGAAGGTTTCTTAATGTGACACTAAAGAGGCTGCTGCCTCATTGTTCATCAATTTCTTTTCATCTATCGTCTATCTGCCTATCTATCTATCTAGCTATTATCTACCTATCTACCTATCATCTGTCTACCTACCTATTATCTACCCATACATCTGTCTGTCTACCTATCTATCCACCTACCTATTATCCATCTGTCTGTTAGACAGTCAATCAGTCAGTCAGTCTGTCTCAACAAAATCTTACTGTACATCCCTGGCTTGCCTAGAACTCACTATATCAACCAGGCTTGCCATGACCGTCTTGTCTCAGCCTTCTGAGTGCTAGGATTATAGGCATGAATCACTTGAGCAAGCACCATTTTTAAAAATACATTCAAGATAATCTGACATTGAAGTAAGAATGAAAAGAAAAAAAGCTAATTAATTGATGGATTTTAGTTTAAGAAATATCCTGTTTAAACACTCACATGCCCCTAATTATCACTGACCACATAATTAATGAGTCAATATGAGACTCAGAAGGAAAATAACTGGCAAGGCCTTCTGACCATCACATCAAGACTTGGGGTGTGTTAGCACAGCCACAGTGAATGATAAGTATCAGAACAATTGTAAAATTGGATTCTTTCCTCACTAAAACCAGTTTCCAACCAGACTGGGATACTGCAAAGAGGTGGATGGGGCCTTTGTGCATGGCTGACATAATTTTCTAGCTACCAAAGGGCTAGATACATGCTTCGTCCTTCTCTATGAAATTACTCATATCATGGGATCCAAAGCATGCATCTGCACAGAGCAAGTGTGTTCCAAAAGCAGACAGACTCACCCAAAGGAAAAGCATATTCAGCATAGCCTTCCTCAACAGGATATGAGGCTCATGCTGGCCACTCACACCTCTCAGGATATGGAGGCAAGGCTACTTTGTGGTGATGTCTGTGTCTTTTAAAATGCCTATGCATCAGAAAGTGTCTATTGGTCATGAATGAGCGGCCTGTAGCTCCTGGGATCCCCACATTTGGAAGTCTTGCTCATAGGTATATGTCCATAGACAAAGCCCCTCATTCCCCTTAGGTCCTACTCTTTCTTTCCACCCTGAGAGAAAGCCACCATGATAGAAATGCCAATGCAACCTCTTTGTGCTCCCACCATCACTCTGCTGGAGGAAGTGAGCTGTCTGCATTCAATCCATAACCATTTACTCGCATTTTCTTTTGTTCCTTTCCTTCTGCCCTCCTTCTCTTCCTTCCTTTTGAAAAGGTCTCATGACGCAGCCCAGGCAGGTCTTGAACTCATGATCTTCCTGCCTCAGCCTCCTAAGTACTGGGACCGCAAACATGTTCTACTGCAGCTAGACTCCATTTGCTCTTAATGAGAGTAACAGCCCCTGCTGCTACTCACACTGACCCTGCATCTTTTGGGTTTTGGAAGAACAAGCCACATTTTGGTTCATTTAAACTTTACTACAATCCTGAAAAGTGAGATTTTCATCTATGAAACCTTTGTCATAGATGAAGGAACAGATATATTATGTAGCATGATCTAATAGATAGAAAAATGGCACAGTAAGGTAGTGAGTTCATGTTTCCTGGGCTAGAGCCTAGAACTGTTCTCAGGATTCATAGTGTATTAAAAACACCAGGCCTTGTGGATCTTGACCCTCTATTGGGACCCTCTGGACTTCCCCTTGGTCTGGGAATTTAAGGGTTAAAACCTGGTGCTATAGGACAATGCCTAGTGCTATGAAAGAACTGTTCTGATTCCCAGGATGCTCCTTTCTCCATTTTGAATATCACCACTATTATTTCTACCAAGCTCACCTTGGAAATACATACTGTGCTCAAATCGAGCAGGTGATGGAAAGTAGGCTCTCTAGCTATTACGTTTCTCATTGACCTCCACCTTGTTTCATTTAAGGAAAGTGAATCTAAGCTCCAGAGGCAAGTGTAGTTAGTCTATCCCCCTCACCCTCTAGACTCTAACCACTCAGGACTCCCCACTTCCTCTACTCCCCCAAACCCTACCTCCTCGCCTCCCTACCATGAAGACAACTGGAGATTCAGGCTCGTGAGAGAACATAGTTTGTAATCTGGACTGAGTAGCTTATCAAAACATAAGCCAGAGATAGCACCCAGGCTAGACCTTCCCTAGCCTCTGGGGAATAAATGGCCAGAATGGGAACAATACTGAAACAGGTAGCCATCTTGGGGGCTTTGGGTCCCTATGTGCTCATTATGCACTCTCAGGATATTTTGAGGATCATGTTTAAGGAGTCATTTTGCCTGAGCCAATGGAGGAGGATGACCTCTAATAGAAGAGTCAATGGGGGAGAAGCTGTTGATTTTCATGCAAACTCTAGGGAGACTCCATTAAGAAAGAAACGTGAGGGGAAGGGGTGGGCAGGATGTTGGTAGAGCTGTGTGGTTTTAAGGCATGTGACTTTAGTCCCAGGGAGAGGCAGGCAGATCCCCAAGTTCGAGGCCAATTTGATCTACAGAGTGAGTTCCAGGACAGCCAGGGCTACACAGAGAAACCTTGTCTGTAAAACACAAGAAAAAATAAATAAATAAAGGGACATTTGAGGGAAAATCTCAAGGTGGTAGGAAGGTCTCCACACTTGGTAGGTTTATTCTAAGAATATAACATCAAGCTGTATCTTTCTTCCACTTTCACTCTGGATAAAAAGTGCTTAAGCTCTGAAGTAGTATCTTTTATGGCTTGTATTTACTTAGACTATTCCATTGTATTATGGAAGGGATTATACCTACCAAACAGCTTTTGTGAGAGAAGTATATGGAACTTAGAATTCTCATTTGTTGATCATGTAATCTAGTTAAAGCCAAACATTTGAATGTTTACAAAGGCTTGGTGAGAATAACATTTTAATCACTCAGAGTGGAAAGCTACATACTGTCCTTCCTAACGTTGAGGCCCACCAACACTGAGACATGTCCAAACATGTCCAGCTCTTACTGCCTAATATAAGAATAGCCATTTTGTCTTCCTTAGTTCACAGTTCAATACTTGCTGCTTAGAACAGAGTAATGGCAGAGATGATAAATATATGTTCTACTTGAGCTAAACCACAATATCCTGCTATGTTCCTTCCTCATGGGAATGATAGGGAACCAAGTCAACAGATCCCCAAGAGGGAAAACTGGAAAGTCCCCAAGTTCCCCCACCCTATTCCCAGAAAATCAGCTTAAAGATCAGCTGAATAGTTTGTCTGGCTACCTAGCCACAGTGTGCATGGAATAGAATTGATTCTTCCTGCTTGGTTGTGTATTTTTTCCTTTAAAAGCTCACTCTGAAAAATGGCTCATGGTCACAGTTTGGCTCTAGAGTCCACTGTGTTCCTGATCATGATCAGTCTTGGGATGTGTGTACAATAACCCATGAATATCTGACTAAGATGGGTGTCTGAATGGTTTGTGTGGCTATTCTTGGACTGTAACACTACCTGTGTCCATCTTGATATTTTGTATTCATGGTGTTGACAGGGATTCCTTGAGAACCCGGAGTAGCTGTGCATTCTGGATGCACCCCCGCCTTCTCTGCTCTCTATGCTTCATGAGGCCTTGCTGGTCACGGCTAGGAAGGACCTTCAGCCAGAGTCCCTCATTTTATAAGTGAGAAGACTAGAAATTGTGAGAAGGCAGAATTTGAAACTGCAGCTTTTAGACCTATGCTCTCCAAACTTCAAAGTATGAACTCTGGGCCCGGGAACTTGTATACAGGTACACAGGTACTTGGGCTTGCTGGGGCTGACTTGTTGACTCTTCCTTTGAGCCTGCTCCCTAAGGGACCTCACATTACCCTGCAAGTCCTCTTGGGTTGTCATGCTTCCTACTGAAACATACTCAGACAGACATTTTGGTTTTTTTCCTTAGGGTCTAATACGTGTTTGCGAGGGAGAAGACACAGGCTTACAGGCTGTTTAACTCTGAAGACACAGGGCAGTCAGAGCTCCCTGGAGAAGCCTGAACCCTCAAAAGGGCAAGTAGGAATAGTAGCCATAAGAAGGCTTCTGCCCTGGGGATGGTATCTCATGCCTTTAATGCCAGCACTCTCTGAGTTCAAGGCCAGCCTGGTTTACAGAACAAGTATTAGGACAGCCAGAACTGCACAAAGAAACCTGTTTAAA